ACTGCTTAATTCTGATGCATTTTAAAAAATCTCTTTACAAGCAAATAAGATCCTAAGGCATTGGTCTTCAAGGAAGTTCACAGAAAGGGTAGAAAGGACCATAAAAAGCACCTTTGAATACAGGTTTATGATGACTTTAGGATCATATCATTTGGACTATAAGTAAGGATTTCTAGCACTCCAATGAAAAGACTAACTGATTTATAAAACTGCTAACCCAAGCAGGACAAGAATTAATTGAATAACAAGAAGATACTTTGCCAAATTTTCATAATAAATCAGCCAGCACTGAAATTATTAAGATGTGCCACTTGAATGAATTCCATGATCCAAGTCAAATTACCTATGTGACATGGTTTGGCTGTGCCCCCACCCAAATCTCATCTTGAATTGTAGCTCCCATAATTCCCACATTTTGGGAGGGACTCCATGGGAGATAATTGAGTCATGAGGGCCATTTCCTCATACTGTTCCCATGGTATTGAATAAGTCTCACAAGATCTTATGGTTTTATAAGGGGAAACTCTTTTTGCTTGGCTCTCATTCTATCTTTGCCTGCCACCATGTAAAGCTGTGCCTTTTGTCTCCCACCATAATTGTGAGGCATCCCCACCCATGTGGAACCTTCTTTCCTTTATAAATTACCCAGTCTCGAGTACATCATCATCAACAGTGTGAAAATGAACTAATACAGTAAGTTGGTATTGTTGGAGTGGGGTACTACTGTAAAGATACCTGAAAATGTGGAAGAAACTTTGGAACTGGGTAACAGGTTGGAACAGTTTGGAGGACTCAGAAAAAGACAGTAAAATGTGGGGAATTTTGCAACTTTCTAGAGACTTGTTGAATGGCTTTGACCAAAATGCTGATAATGATATAGACAATGAAATCCAGGGGGAGGTGGTCTCAGATGGAGATAAGGAACTTGTTGGGAATTGGAGCAAAAGCGACTCTTGTTATGTTTTAGCAGAGACTGGCAGCATTTTGCCCCTGCCCTAGAGATCTGTGGAACTTTGAACTTGAGAGTGATAATTTAGGGTACCTGGCAGAAGAAACTTTTAAGCAGCAAACTATTCAATAAATGAGTTAGATGCTGTGAAAAGCATTCAGTTTTAAAAGGGAAACAACATAAAAGTTCAGAAAATTCGCAACCTGATGATGCAACAGAAAAGAAAAATCCATTTTCTAAGGAGAAATTCAAACAGGCTGCAGAAATTTGCTTAAGTAAGGAGGAGCCAAATGTTAATCACCAAGACAATGGGGAAGATATCTCCAGAGCATGTCAGAAACTTTTGCAGCAGCCCCTCCCATCACAGGTCCAAATGTCTAGGAGGAAAAAATGGTTTTGTGGGCTGGGCCCAGGGCCCCCCTGCTATGTGCAACTTAGGGACTTTGTGCCTTGCATCCCAGCTGCTCTAACCATGGTTAAAAGGGGCCAAAGTATAGCTTGGGCCATGGCTTTAGAGGGTGCAAGCCCAAAGCCTTGGCAGCTTTCACATGGTGTTGAGCCTGAGGGTGCACAGAAGTCAAGAATTGAGGTTCGGGAACCTTCACCTAGATTTCAGAGGATGTATGAAAATACCTAGATGTCCAGGCATAAGTTTGCTGCAGGGGTGGGGTACTCATGGAGAACTTTTGCTATGGCAATGCAGAAGGGAAATGTCAGGTTGGAGACCCCACACAGAGTCCTTACTGGGGCACTGCCTAGTGGAGCTGTGAGAAGACAGCTACCGTCCTCCAGACCCCAGAATGGTAGATCCATTGACAACTTGTGCTGTGTACCTGGAAAAGCCACAGACACTCAATGCCAGCCCATGAAAGTAGCCAGGAGGGAGGCTGTACCTGGCAAAGACACAGGGCAGAGCTATTCACAACTACAAGAACCCATCTCTTGCATCAGTGTGACATGGATGTAAGACATGGAGTCAAAGGAAATCATTTTGGAGCTTTAAGATGTGACTGCTCCACTGGATTTCAGACTTGCATGGGGCCTGCAGCCCCTTTGTTTTGGCCAATTTCTCCCATTCTCTAATGCCTGTAACCCCGTTGTATCTACGAAGTATCTAACTTACTTTTGATTTTACGGGCTCATAGGCAGAAGGGACTTTCCTTGTCTCAGATGAGTTTGGACTGGGGACTTTTGAGTTAAAGCTGAAATGAGTTAAGACTTTGAGAAACTGTTGGGAAGGCATGATTGGTTTTGACAGGTGAGGACATGAGATTTGAAAGTGGCCAGGGATGAAATAATATGGTGTGGCTACATCCCCACCCAAATCTCATCTTGAATTGTAGCTCCCATAATTCCCACATGTTTTGGGAGGGACCTGGTGGAAGATACCTGAATCATGGGGGTGTTTTTCACCATATGGTTCTCAAGGTAATGAATAAGTCTCACAATATCTGATGGTTTTATAAGGGGAAACCCCTTTCGTGTGATTCTCATTCATTCTTTGCCTACCACCATGTAAGATTTGCCTTTTGTCTCTCACCATGATTGTGAGGCCTGCCCTGCCACATAGAACTGTGAGTCCATTAAACTTCTTTCCTTTATAAATTATCCAGTCTTAGGTATGTCTTTATCAGCGGCTTGAAAACAGAATAATAAACTATGATAATCCATCTAGAAAACAATGCTACACACTTAAAACTTGGGGAAAGGAAATTGGCATTTAAGAGGATATAAATCCAATATAAAGTGTTGACTCACAGAGAGAGATTGAACAGCCACTTAGTACTTCCTAAGTCCTTAAATCTCCATTATTAAAAGCTCTAGCTGGGCAATGTGGCTTGCACCTGTAATCTAAGCTTCTCAGGAGGCTTAGGTGGGAGAATTACTTGAGCCTAGGAGAACAAGGCTATACTGAGCTGTGATTGTGCCAACACATTCCAGCCTAGGTGACAAAGCAAGACCCCATGTCTCTAAATAAATAAATAGTCTATACTCCATGACTCATCATAGGAGGGATAAAATGATCCAGATAGAATACACACACACACACACACACACACACACACACACAACTGGTGTGGTGACTGTTTTAAATTGCCAAAATGACTTGTGACAAATATACTTCAGGTATATCTGCTACCTGATAAGCCATTTGAACATAGAAAGATTTCATTCCATTGTGGTTTTCAATGCGTATTTTCTGATTACATAGAAGCTTTCTCAAACAAGAAGGCCAGTCCTATAATGGTAGCTAAAAGGTTATCAGAAAATATATTTCCCTCATGGGACATTCCTAGAAAAATCTCTAGTGATAAAGGTACCTGTTTCATTGGACAAGTACAAATACTTAAATAAGATATTACAAATACAATAACATTAGGCAAAGCTAATTGAATCAACTAGGTTGCCTTGGTCAAACATATTACAGATTGATAACAATCAGCTCTAGTTCCGGAGGAAAATATAAGTTGATCCCTTATGAAATAGTGACTGGAAGGCCTATGCTCCTAATAATAGAACCTCATATATCTTCTACTCCTAAACTCTAATATGACTAAACTCTACCAGGCTTTAATGTATTGTGCCAAAGTGTATTTTCACCATGTTAAAGAAAGCTTGTCATGGTTCACCAACAGAGGACAATCAAACACAGATGATCTAAAACTCAGAGATTTGATCTTCTGGAAACATTAAGGAAAGACTGCCCTTGCCACCCACACAGCGAAAAAACTGTGGGACTGTGCACTTTGAGTTTGTAATCTGACAACTCATGCTAAATGTGACATAATCAAACTGAAACTTTAAAGAAACAGATATTCCCAAAGAAAAGACCAGAAATGATTTTCTCTCTTGAAACCAGGATGTTCCAGCATAATAAGGAAGTCTCCTCTAGGCTATCTTTTACAAAAAAGTTAAAGTCCTATTTATAAGGACTTACAAAACTTACTGTTTTGTTATTTTCTAGTGAGATTTGAGACCAAATAAGTACATTTATGATGGCAAAAGAGTGATGTCAATGCATAAAGTTTTAGTCAAACTCTCAGTTTGACCAAATAAAGGGAACTGTTAAATTAAGCTTAACCTAAAACTGCCCTCATTATAAGTTTGGCCTAAAGGTTTTTCTGTACATAGTGAACTATAATCTAAATATATAAACAGACTGCAACCTACTCTTGTACCAATCACAGATTTTCAGCCAGTAACAGGTAGCCAACTGTTCAACTATAGCAAATGCTGAATTGTAACACAACCAGCTATTTCTGTACTCCATTTTCATTTTCTGTACATCATTCTCCTTTTTCTGTCCATAAATCCTCTCTGACCACATACCTGTGTCAAAGTCTCTCTGAACCTATTCTGGTTCAGGTGCTTCTTGATTCAGGAATCATTCTTTCTTCAATTACTCTATGTTAACTTTAATTTTTCTAAAGTTTTTATTCTAACAAGTTAACTGAAACATATACTAAAATAAATACTAATATATAAGAAAAATCTTACTGGAGCACAAAGAAAAGAGACATTAGTTGTGAATGGTGTTGGTATTACTTCATAGAAGAAAAACATTTTTTAGTTTATAAGCATTTTCGCCATGAAAGATATGCAAAATTGTGATAGCTATAAAATAAATAATAAATGTCAAGCTTACATTTTTCATATGCAAAGTATGAGAACAAATGGAAAATTCAGGAAGTTGAAAGTATTCTCCTTTGGAATAAGGTATGCATGGGGAGAAAAGGAGAAGGAAAATACAATAGAAGACACTGTAAAGTCAGCTTGGGTAGAATACTATACTAAGGATTATTTCCCATATTATCTAATATCCAATTATGTTTGTGACATCACAAGTTATAGAAATAAGTAAGACAATCCTGAGAAAGATGACAAGCCTATCTCAAATATATTAGATATTTGATTCATTCTTTTTAGGCTCATAGCATATCTCAAAACCATTTCTGAACTACTGAAAGAAAAAAAAGACTTTATGCCAGAAGTCACATGAAGCTCTTTAGCAATATTAATCCTTTATCTTTCACACATATCTTTTTTTTAACATCAGATGGATAATGCGCTGACATTACAACAAGGTTTGAGGGAGGCACAACTCAAATAAGCATTAAATACCCAATCATATGTATGAACTATGGAAGAATCTCTAATACACATCTTTAATACAAATGGCTTTGTTTCTGTTTTATGATGCCCCATAACTAAAACTGTATCCAAAAGGCAATTAAATTAAGAGAGTCTTTTCCTCCAAAAATATTTATATTATCACTAAATATAGACTCTTCACAGCTGACATTATTATTGCATTCACAAAATAAAATAATCTTGACATTAGAGGCTGGGATTAAAAATAAGCAAAAACTACAGTTGTAGATATATATATATATATATATATATATATATATATATAGAGAGAGAGAGAGAGAGAGAGAGAGAGAGAGAGAGAGAGAATCCATCTAGACTCCAAGGGGAAATTGTGTTTCATTGCTTCTTTGAAATTTGCATCTTGAGGAAAAGTATCAACTCAATTCTGAAATAAAAAATATGGTGATAAATAGAATCATTTTTAGTTCATTATAAATATTCCACCTTTAACTGCTTTCTGCTTGACCAAAAAAAGTACTTCTTTGAAATAGACACTGGAGAGTAAAAACACTTCTATCCACTGTTGCCTGGGTATAAGAACATGTGTTTTTCATACAAAACATAAAAAGAAAAAACTCCAATAACATTATTTACACTTTTTACAATTTGTGTAAGCTTAATTGCACTTAATCTCAATTGATGTTAACTGTAAACTTCCAACTGTGCACAGTGATATGATCTGATTTGTATTTTAGAACAAATCAGCACCATAAGAAACACACAGCTTACACAAAAACATCTCTTCTCCATATCAAACTTGTCTAACCTGTGGCCCATGGGCTGCATGAGCCCCAGGACAGCCTTGAATACAGCCCAACAAAAATTTGTAGACTTTCTTAAAGCATTATAACATTTTTTTGCAATTGTTTTTAGCTCATCAGCTATCATTAATGTTAGTGTATTTTATGTGTGGCCCAAGACAATTAATTCTTCCATTGTGGCCCAAAGAAGCCAAAAGATTGGACACCCCAGGTCTACATCATTCTCGGTCTTCAGAAAAAGTAGAAACAACAAGTGAAATTGTAAAATTTGTAAAATTTGTATTTTAGAACAAATCAGATCATATCACTTCTCTGTAGTTTTCTACTACTTGAAATGACTTTTCTCCCTTTCTAGGCCAGATTTCTAGCCACCAAAATATCAAGTGGTAAGTCATGCTCAAAAGAGCAGCATCTATAGTATTACCAAATAACTAAATGGGAAACTGGAGAGTAACTAGCTTTAATATTTTAAAGTATTTTGAAGTAGCTGACATATTTTGCTTTCACAAGTAACTCCAAATTTTCCCTCCAAAGTAACATGAAAAAAATAATGCATATAGCATCAGAATGCATATAGCAGCACTATTCATAACAGGCAAAAATTAAAAACAAACCCAAATGCATGTCAATAGGAAAACTGATCAATAAAATGTGGTATATTCAGATACTGGAGTACACACAGCACTGAGAATGAATGAAATACAACTCCATACGATTATATAGCTGAATCTCCCAAACATTATGTTGAACAAAACAATACAGAACCAGTAGAATACATTGTATGATTCTTCTATAAACGTTGAATAAAAATAGGCCAAAATAGTGGTGCTGGACAGAAAATTGTGGTGCAAGACAAAAGGTAATCTCCCATTACCCTTGGAGATGCTAGATAGTTCTCCCTGAAAGGAAGCATGAGGAAATTCTGGGGGACTGTTAATGTTCTGCTTCTTAATCTCAGTGCTACTTTCTATGCTTTCAATCTGTACACTTTTCATCATCTGTTTTATATTACTTAGCAATAAGCACTTTGCTGCTTTTATCAATTTTTCCAAATATCCTTTTCTGAGCAACCTATCATTTGTCATTTTAAAAACGTATTTACTTACCCCTACCTTGAGTCACACAGCATTTAATATGATTCTAAGTTATGAGAAAGATTCTGTCAATTTTATATTATTCAGATTGAAGATTATCTGTGTTTGGACCTGGAAACACATCTATGTTCAGGAACTGCCTTTACCATTTTACAACTCCATATCAAATTTTTTTTTTTAAATCCATGAAGCAGGGTATTTTTTCTGGGCCTTAGTAGACAGCCCCCTGATTTCATTCCCACTCATCATCACCAATAAAATGAAGACAGATCCTGAGCTGGCTGAGGCCCTACAGTCCTTAGCTCCTTGCCCTGTCCCTTCTCAGCCTCAAGACAGGCAGTCTGTGTCAGCGATAGAGATGGCGCCTACAGAGGGTACCAGAGCTGAGCAGATACATGAACCCAGAGGCAGGAATTGCAGAGGGCAAAGGGTGCACATCCCTGAGTCCAGCTGGGGCTTCACTTGCTGCCCACAGTGATCTTGAGGCTACAGGGCACAGCGAGCAGCCTCACCATGGGCTGCCTCCCTGGTGGTTGCAGAGCTGGCTAGGTAGACAGTTCCACCAGACACTGGCAGAGTCCACTCAGGCTCAGCTCTTTAATATCCAGTTAGCTGACATGGAAGACCCGTTCCTCAGAGAGCTCACTGAGAATACGGCAGCAGGCAGGGCCCAAGGCACCTAGGGAGCCCAAGAGCAACTGAAGGAAGACAGGATCTTCCCTCCACCGAATTTCGTAGAGAATTCCAGGTGCATCCTGCGTCCAGGTTCCGAAGCCCATCCAGGTGGGAGACCACAGCAATGGAGAAGTTATACTCAGGCTCCGCCTCATTTCCATCTGGGGCATCCAGAGACACCGTGTGCACTCGAAGCAGCATTTTGGCCACCGCGTTACACTTTGCCAGTTTTTTGGAAGTGCCACTGCCAATGTCAATGAAATGCTCCACTCGGCAGGTCATGATGAATTCTTTGCGGTGGTCTAGCCCAGATTCCTGGGTCACTGTGTACTCTGGCAACAACCACCAGCCTTTTTGCACCACCAGCTCCTGCACCAATGGGGGTGCACCTAGACTGCTGAAGGGAAATAGGGGTTAGGGAGGCGGGGTGCTGCTTTTCCAGAGGGGTGCTCCTGGTTAAGACAACAGATGAAACTGCGGTAGAGGCTGCTGCAGCAGCAAAAACCAGAGAACATCTTCAGGCAGTGAAGAGTCTAGGGGCCCTGCTGTCCTCCCGCGCTGGCTCCAACATGCTTCCCACTTTGAGGTGTTTGAGGGCCACCTCAGCTGCCTTGTTCTTGACTGCCTTCTTGCTGGGGCCCTGAACTGGTTCAGCTGGTGTCGCCAACAGTGACCCAGTACGTGAAATTAGGCTGATGGGCTTGGCCCTCGGCTTTGAGAATGTTATACACAGCTGTCTTCCCTATTCTGGTCTCACACTCCTGCAGAAGGCTGATCTGGGTCTTGCCAGGGTTGATGGCCAGCAATTGCTCTATAGCAGGCAGCCTGCAGCCCCCTGCTCGTCTTCATTCATTCCCTCCTCTGTCCCCATGGGTGCCACGTGACTGCCTCCGTATCAACCTCTTTGACCAGTCAAGCACCATAAGAAGCACAGAGCTTACAAAAACAATCAAATTTTGTCTATATCATTCTCAATCTTCAGATAAGGTAGAAATAAGAAATAAAATTTTAAAATTAAAATTACCCTCAAGAACTCTTCAATTTCCATCTCCATTAGCCTTCAAAACAAAAAGATAAACATTTCTGGGGATCCATCTGCTCTCTCCTTATGAACAAATAATGGACTGCCCCATATATTTTTACATTTCACCTTTGATCCTAGATTCTGCTATTGCAAGCTAACTTGAATAGATACAGCAAAGAAATCATGTGATACAGTCTTGTCAGTAATAGGTAAAAGCAGTCTTTCCAAAATGTCCTTCTAAGCAACTCTCTATGACCTGAAATCTGCAGAATTAGTACTCTGGAGGAGACACCGGAGAAAAACTGTCCTGGACACTTGGTAAAAAGAGTGCAGTAAGTCATGCTAATAATCAGTACTTCAGTTAAAAGCTCCAAAATGTTGATCCTTGAATTCAAGTTTCACAACTAAAAAGATACACACCATTTTTCCTGGGCTTGAAAATCTTCTCCATTGGGAGTCCTTAAACAGGAGAATCTTAAGCTTCCAGAAGCAGATGATCTTTGGAAAAAACAGCTAATGACCCCTGGATCAAGCAAATGACAAACCAAAGTATATAGCTTCCACCCCAAAACAGAAGATTATAAGTTTTCTGGTATGTCTGCTCTTCCTTTCTAAAATTATTTTGTTTACTTTTAGTCTTATTTATTGCTGTGCTTTGGTATCCCTAGTGATCAACTAAAGGTTTCTCAGAATACGTGTATACATTCGCATATTGTCAGTGTTATCACATTCTTTATCTCCATTAGTCTTTCATTACCACCTAAGAAAAGGCAAAAATCTCCCTGTTATCTCACCAACAAAACTTAATGTTAGTTTGGTGCAAAGGTGATTGCAGTTTTGGCATGGAAAGTAATTTACTTTTGCACCAACCTAATAGCTGTTACTTAAAACATTACAAATAGCAAATTTCCTTCCTGGGAACACTTGTATATTTGAATTTTTTTCACATTTTAACCCAAACCTTCAGTCTTGTAAAAATTAGACCTTGATCCCAGTCATTACAGCAGTTACAGTAGAAGCAACTACTGTATTGGAGTTGTGAACAAATGTGAACCTAAAAGAGCCACTCCTTCAAGATAGATCTCAAGTGGCTAACTAGGCCTAGATTTTAAATACAGCCAGGCTGCCATTTGCTAACTAGAGGTCAGTCACATACTCTGGGTTTCCAGAAAATCCACGCATCTATTGAACTTTGTGCTCACCTAAACCAATCAATCAGGGCTCAGCTATATGAACCAATCAGAACCCAGCTGTATCAACCAATCAGAACTCAGCTGTGTTAACCAATGAGAAGGAAGCAAGTTTGCTTCATTTTCATAAAGAAACTAGGTTAAGAACATGGGCAGGCATGTTTGCTATAAAATCAGGATCCTCCCTTTGCTCTCTAGAATGCACCTTCCTCTAACATTGAAAACGGTGTCTACCTCATTTGCGAAGTCTCTCCT